CCAAACACGATTCTCACGCCATTCCCAGACGAGGCTGCACACAAAACAGTTCTCTACTAATACAGAAAAACCTGACATAGCAAACCATTTTGGAATCGGATTGATTTCATTGGGGATCACAGTCGTTGTCGAATGACGTAATAACAATTTCCTATCCCTGATTCCAGCGTCCTGGAACGTTCTTCTTCAAGAGGAACCGGATAAGAAAATGATGGTCGCCAAATACCAACGTTCATCATCCATCCTTTAATTGCAGAAAGAAAGATAAATCTAAAAGCTCTGTAAACCCCGGATGGGTGGAACCTGATCTAAACTACATTTTATTATTGGATAAATTAGATATTTTATCACTATAAAATATTTAATATTAACCAATCATATTCCGTCTAACTAACAACCCACTTATTTGTAAGTGCTGAAATTACTTGTAGTTTCAGCACCAGAGAGATTTGAATTTAACTTAGAAATTAGTTACCTCTCCAAGAGAACTTCAGCAGTCGAAATAAGCCAGTATACTCTAGATCTTTTGAGCCTAGCAGAGACTAGTTAAACACCCTGAGACTAGTAGATATAAGAGTAAGATTAGGATCGGTTTCAGACTAAGAAGTTGCACGAATCTATCCGGCCGAAAATAAGATAGCGTGACGAGCAGACGGTGTACCCTATCCGAAATTACTCTTTGAGTTAACCATCAGGATCTAACTCATTACTTAGAAGTCTTAGAACCTCGAACACAAGTAGCCCAAACAAGGAACATATTTTTTCATTTTGTCTTCTGGTTCTTGTCTCAAACTTTTCAGGCTTAAAAACCCTGCAGTGGAGTGTTCTTTGGGCACTCTCAGAGGTTGCAGAACTTGCCTACAAGTTCGATTTTTCAAATCATCTTAGTTTCTGAGATTTGCCGTTTTTTTAAATTTCTTCGAAATTTTTCTAGAAACTAAAGATCTAAACTAATTTCTAAGTTCGAAATATTCAACACTATGCTTGGAGTTCTCAAGGTACTCTCGGGACGTTTGGACGCCAATTATGATTGCTCAACGCCCCGTGCTTTCTTAAATATGACGTATTATCGTTAAAAAGTTTTTCAAATGTTAATTAAGCTTGATTATGAATACCGTTTATGAATGTGATGACTCCAATCAAATTGGTTCAATTATTTAATAAAATGCGAGATTATTAGATTCCCGATTCCCGATCTCGTTTTTTCTACGATTGCATTCATTTCGCTGTTTTTTTTTCTTTATTTTATGTATAAGCAAGTTTCATGTTTACTAATCTGTTTCAGGCACCGGAGTTGCGTTCACGCTAGTCTTTTATATTAAATGAAAATATTAATGCGCTTTGGCCTCAATGCTTGAGCTTTTTTCATTGAGCACAACGTTTAAAAAGACTTAGATCAGAGCGTTTTAAGAACCCTTCAGAGCAACCGGCGAACTCAGTTTAATAGAAGAATTTCTTAGAATTTTCAATCTTTCGAAAGTCATTAAACAAGTTGAACTTGATTCAACTTCAAAATTAGACAATACCTGCCCACTTTTGTCCAAACTTATGGCGTTTGCACATTCGTTTCAGTCTAAAGCGAATCCTTTAAAATAAGCAGCCACCTTGTTTAGAAAACTAGTCATTAGCAGACTGATTCGCGGCATGAAATAAATTTAAATGTTTCAGAGTGACATAGCTTTAGGAATCGTTTGCTTAAAAAATTTTCAATTTTTGTTGCAAAACGATGCGAACCGATTTGGATTGAAAGAACTTGAAATATTTCAAAGTTTCGTAGCTGGAATAGATTGCTTAAAAAATTTTGCGGGATCCGATTCATTCTATAAAATAATCTTAAATTTTATCAGAATTTCATCGATTGAATAGCTGCAAGAAAAGAACGTTTCCCTACCGATTCCTTGCATGGAATAATTTGAAATATTTCAAAAACTAATAGTTAAATGGCTTGCTTAGAAAAAAATGAATTTTTCGAAAACCGATTTGGTCCATGAAATAACTTGACTGATTCAAAGTTTCATTGGTTGAAAGATTTCAACATATAAGCTTAAACTTTTCGCCATCCATCTCACTTCGTTTTACAGCTTGAATTGCTTGCTCAGAAAAACTTGATTTTTTTAAGACCGAGTCGGTCTAAGTTTCATCGGTTTCGTGATTCCAATAAAAAAATCAAATTTTGTCGCTATACGATTCTCTAAATGCAATAACTTTCATAACTGGAGTTTTTCAAAGTTCCATAACTGGAATAGCTTGCCTAAAAATCTAAATTTTTCGCAAGCCGATTTAGTCTAAGAAATAGGTTGAAATTTTTCAAAGTTTCAGAACTTGAATAGCTTACTAGTGAAACTTTGAGTTTTCGCCAACTGATTTGGTCTGAGAAAGAAATTGAAATTTTTCAAAGTTTATTTGCTAGAGTAGCTTGAATAAAACAATTTAACTTTTCGCGAACGGATTTGGTCTATGAAATAACTCGAATGATTTCAAAGTTTCATAGCTTGAATAGCTTGCTTAGAAAAGCTTCAAATAAAAGCTAGAATGGCTTCAAACAAAATGGCTTCATCACTTCAATGGCTTCCATAAAAAAAAATTTTTTTGACATCCAAATCGCTTCATGAATTAACTTAAAATATTCCGAAGTTTAATAGCTGGAACAGCTTGTGTAGAAAAACTTCAACTTTTCGCGGAGCGATTCGTTCTTTGAACCTTTCAAACCGATTTATGAATTGGCTGAAATTAAACCTGGCTGAATTGGCGGAGTTTTTTCAAACCGATTTACGAATTGGCTGAACTTAAAATAACTCGTAGTTTTATTGCTTGAATAGCTTGATAACAACAACGGCTAATTTTTGTATGCACATTTATGTGCACAAAATGTCAAATGCGAAATCAACTGTTTCGTTAAGAGCAAGAAATGCTTGTCAGAAAAAAAACTTAATTGAGTGAAATAATGATAGAAAAACGCCAAAATGTTGAGGCTGAGTCCCTCAGTTTGTCGACCTCTATGCTTCCAGAGTTTTTGATTATTGTTCCACCCTCAAAGTGTTTTAGCGTCTGAACTAGTTACAAATGTTATTGTAGCTAGCTCAGACATTGTTTCATCCATCGCTTCTTAACTGAGCAATTACCAGAAGCGAATAATAGAATTGAACTAGAAGAGCGAAGTCTTCATAAAGAGAACTTTTGGTTAAGAGAGGCAACTGTTTAGTTTCTATTCTGCATAAGAAAGAAAGTTGATTATTTACATATTAAATTGGAAGACTTTATATCTTTATTTAAAATCTTTTTTGTACAATTTCTTTGTCTTGCAAGACAAAGAAAGTGGACATAGAACATAAACATAAAGAAAGGGATTTAGTTTACAAAATTATTATGAAACTAATCAACTATATATATTTTTATGCGAACTAGAAAATAAACAATTTTTGTTCCGTCTTTCGAAGAAAACGGAATATTTATGCCTGGTGTGGTTTTTTTATTGATCAGTCAATTTTCGGTGATCGAAATAATAGTTTTTAACAAAAGATTTTTATGCGCAATCGAATATCAACTCGCTGAAATCAAATTTATTATAATATTTTACCTCCGATCTTTTTTGCAAAGTTTTGGGAGTTAGAAAGTTGCCAACTTGGCCATGCTCTGGACTAATTTATGCGCACTTTGAAGATTTTATCCATAATCCTGAAAACGTAACGCAATTTATTTGTGCGTGGCGAATTATCCCGCTCAACAAAATTGTTCCAAATTGAATTGAATTGAGGCTACCTAGTCGGTCGTATTAATTACTCAAATTTTCAAATTTGATCATTGATAGTGTCCAAAATTTATGGTGTCCAAAATTTATAGTCAAAAATTTATAGAAACGAGCAGTCTTGTTTCACTTAATCAAGAGTTTTCTTTTTGCATACAATCGCTATGTTCTTGTTCTTCCTACTTTTGTAACAAAAATAACGGAATATTTGTGCTCGGGTGGTTTTTGTTCCGACTTTCACAACAAAAGTAATGGAATATTTGTGCTCGGGGTGGTTTTTGTTCCGATTTTCGTAACGAAAGTAATGGAATATTTGTGCTCGGGGTGAGTTTTTTTTCTTCAGACAAATTTCGACCTTTCAACTAGCCATTTTTTATAGCATGCAAAACGTATTGTTGTCCTGAGCTTAAATTAGAAAAGATATTTTACCTGTGATCATTTTTTGAAAAGTTATGGAGGTGTAAGGATTGCCATTTTGGCCAATGTGGGACAACGCGCGATATATTTTGCGCTATTAACGCGTAAGCGGAGATTTAATCCTTTTCCTTAGAAATCGTTCCAAATTGGTTGAAGGAGGCTTATTTACCATACTTTATTTGTTACTAGGAGCAAAATTTATCACTTTGTTTTTTCATATGGCGTGTGGGGGTTGATTTTCACAAAAAATCTCAATTTTGAAAAGCAAAGTTTTTTGTTCTTTTATTACATTTAATTTTTGCAGGTTATTTCTGCTCCTTAGACCTTAAGAGGCCGTACGAACATCCAGGGCTTCGCCCTGATACGAGCAGTTTTGTTCAATTTCTGTCTGTATGTTAACGTAGATTTAAAATTTTGGTTAAAATTTCCGCTGATCAATGTAACTTAACAACCAATAAAAACATGGACAACCGGTTCCGAAGCAAGAAGGAAAAATCTTCTAACCACAATGATTTATCCCTCCTATCCCTTTGGTCCTATCCCTCGTGGATAAATGATCTTAAATCTTAAATATTTCATTTTTTGAATCTGCATCACGACTGTTTTAAAGTGAAGCTGCTTTCAATCATCTGTGAGCATTCCTTGAGATCCGCTTCTCCGAACGACGTTCCTTGCACTCTCATCCTGAGGTGGTGGGAACAAAGATGTGATTCTTTATTTGTTGGATGATTAAAATCCACGCATAATTGAGTGCTATAAACGAATAAATCAAAACTCATATGATTTTTTTTTTATAAATTAATCAATTTGTAAATTAATCGATAATGCGAGCCTTCAAAAAACCGAAGTTCAATAAACCCCCCAAAATTACATCATTTTTTAAATTATACTTTGTTTTGAACTTGTAACGTAGTTTTCACACAGTCATGTAACAAATAACCGTTGCCTTTGGCTGGTTATTGTGGTAACTGGTTAAATGTCGGCTTTTTGTATAGCTGCAATGAATGTACATTTTTTCTTTAGCTTTAGATTCAGTTTAATGTTTCGAGAACTTGTGATTAACAAAATATATCGATTGATATCAGTTGCCAACTTCTAGAGTGAGTAAGGCTTTCTGATAACTTGCAAGACGCTGTCGAACCGGACAAGCTCAGTCTGAACAAACGCGAAGTCTTTAACTCCTCGCTTCAAGAGTGACGGCAGCGAATGGGCGCAGATCGTTTTTACGGGTACATCTTCAACTATGTAATAGCCCCCTGGTTTTATCCAATCATAAGCGACCGAGATCAAATTTTCCTGTCCTTCCAAAGTATGAAGAGAGTCATCGACCAGGAAGTCCAGCTTCGTTCCAATTTTCTCAATTAAAGCATGAAGGGTATCGTTTTTGGATATGTCAACGTGATAACTTTTGATTCGTTCCTCTTCAAAAAGAACTTCCCGGTCAATATCGGCGGCATAAATCCGAGAACTGGGGAAATAGTTTCTCCATGCCCGTTGAGAAGCACCAATAACCCACCTTGGCGCGCTGGTGAATCTAAATTTGGGACTTTTGGAACCGATTCCGATTTCAAGCATGTGTCTGATCTCTTGTCGCAAGTCCCGAAACAAAAAGTCATAGACATCGGCGTATTTATGCACAATGCATTTATCAGAACCGTTGAATAGCTGACAGAGTAGCCCATCGTTCGGCTTGCCTTTCAGCTTATACTCGTCCAATTTAGCGCAAAAATGAGGGTTTCCGATGCAGAAAAGCTGTTCTTTCTGTTCTTTTGCACATTTTATTTGATTTAAAGACTCCCTATAATCTTTTTCTGCCTCGGAACCATGCCACATAATATGCGTTCTAAAACAATTCTAATTGTTTTAAAAAGTCATACCAAAATGTTAATATAACATAGTGTCTATTTTTTCGTGTGATTCATCGATAATTTGTTTGATTCAGCCAATTTATTGATAAAGTAAGACACAAATCCATAGTTCAATATGTAGTTCAAATTGAATACATGAAAACTTTGAATACATTTTCAATTGGAATTCAGGAAAATTTGCTGTGGATCTGGATGATTGCTGTCCCGACGTTAAACTTAGCAAGACACCTAGATTATTTTTCATGATTTTTTTTAGCTTTCGATGTTTTTTTTAAATGATTTGAATCCAGAAAACATTTTTCTTTCACTGAATCGTTCGAATTTTGTAAAACATTTGCAACTTTTTATCTATTTTGTCTATTCTCAATGAAATTTGACTTGAAGGGCAAATGCTTACTGCCAAAATCATTAACAAAAACACAAAATTTTTGAAATTCATTGAATAAATGATATTTAACTTTCGTTGCGCGAGCCGGGGCATTGTGCGAGCCGGGAACAGTTCTCCGACAACCTATACTATCGTAAAAAATTGAAGAATATTAGCTAAATTTTGAAAAAGAACCGTCCAAAATTTCCTGAAAACGATTTGGTAAAAACGAAAAACTTTGCTAAATTTTGTGCAAAAAAAAACTTTCTTAGTGTTTGAGCTGAACAGTACAAAAAATCTCAAACTTGTGAGCTTAAAAAAATCCAAAAAATTGAAAATCAATTCTTCCTTGATGTTAGGAATGATTCTATAGGATGCAGAAGCTGAAAAAATGTGAGGAGCATCGCAGGAAATTACTTAGATTTTTTTTCCAATTTGCTGAGTCGGCAAAACTTTAAGAAACGTATACAGAAAAGATATGTTTCAATTGCAAAAACCTGCACTTCTCTTTTAGTTGTTAATTTTTCCAAATTTGACATCCGTATTGGCAATCATACTAATATCAACCAAGCCAATTTGTATTAAAAATACTAATAGAATTAGTTATTAAAGTACATTCAAGCTGACGTGGTTGGAGGAGCGTCACGTTTGTTGAGCTTGCCAGTATTGCTTCAAGTGCAAAGAGAAGAGATCTTTCTTTGACGCCATTTAGACAAAAGTTTAAAAAATCAGTTTTTGTTCCGATCACTGAAAATGGGGAAGAACTTTGTATTCGGGTGTGTTTTAGTTTTTTGTTTTTGTTTTCCACGCAAAATCAGGTACCACAAATAATCATCGGACTGGGTTGAGTGATATATCATGTTTAAGCCCTTTTAGTCGTGATTCAAATCAAATTTAAAAATTTCCAAAAAGTTTTCCCAGTGTCGAGAAAAACCGGTTTGAAATTTGAGATTTTTTGTCTTAATTCGAGGGAATTAAGCAAGCAAGCAGGCTTACAAGCTGAACTATGCCTAGTTTAAGACCTTAAAACATAATTTTAAGCAAGTAAAATTAGTTTTTGGAGTTTTTTTGCCTAATTTTGGGAGCCAAAAACTTCAAAAAATTCGAAAATTTTCTTTAAAATTTTTTGAAAAAAAAATTTTTTTTTAAATTTTTTTTTGTTTTCTAGTTATTTTTCTACAAAATTTTTTTTCCGCCAATTTTCCTATACTACTTTGACTGTCGAATATGCCTAAATAATTTTTTTACATCAGATCCGTTTATCACACCAAGCAGAAACTACACTAACTTTAAAAAAAAATTTCTAAACCGTAGTTTTCTAAAGAGTATGGTCGGAACATTTTGTGCTACTTGCACAGTAACAGGCTATCCTCGTTTAATTTGCAAGGTATTTTTGAAAATCTACATGAGACAACAAATTTTTTGTGCGCTTGTTTCTTACGAAACCACGTTGGTTTGTGAGAGAATGCGGCTAAAATTAAACCAATTCATTGGCCGAACACCTCCAAACAAGGCTCACTACGCTATTTTCAAACAAAATGTCTTGCGGACCAGAAAATTTCCTCAAAATGATGACCTGCTAAGTTATCGGCAAAGTACCCAAAATGGGTATCCTAAAAAAGTCGAAACTTTCCAAAAAAAACACCCAATCAAAACTTTTCGATGAAGTCGCTGCAGCAAAAGCGTTTCATCAACTTATCAACTAAAGCTGTGCATCGTGTTACCTTTCGGCTAGTCGCAGATCCCCCGTAGACGTAGGCTGTGAACTCTGCATCTTGTGTCTGGAGTCGTCGTAAAACCTCGATGACGAGAAGAACAGCCAATATGCAAGCAGAACTGCAGTCACGGCAATTAGAATTGTTTCCACTGAAATTAAAAGAAAAATAAAAACGCATACAAATATCATGGCCCATGTGAACAACTTCTCTTCTATATCAGTGCTGAATCGAAATATCAGAAAAAAAAACGATAAAGTTTGAAACTTCAAACACGTTTTTCTCAAATTGGGTTGACTTTAGACGAAAAATGATGAAGACAAAATTGCTTAGAAATTTAGCAAACGTTTTATGGTGCTAATTATTTTGGAAAATGTATCAACTGTATCCAAATTATCCCTTTATAAAACCCAACCTAATTTAAGGAAGATATAATATTCTCTTCTCTATTTTGCTCAAATAAATTTCAATTTTGGTTGATAGCCAAAAATATCTTAAAATTAAAAATCTTTTCAAACCTTTTGCGCAAAAATTTGGAGTGTATATGCTTCTCAAACTTAAATGGTATACAAAAATGGCTCAAACGGTTTTTTATAAATATGTAAAAATAAATAAAAGAAGTTCGTGGCAATCTGCTATTTAAATTTTTTTCACTGTCTTCTGATTGCTGGAGTTGCTGGAGTCTATCACCATGTCAGATCTCAGATTTAATCTTTCAGGACTCTGAAGATTGCTCTTCTTTTAGGGTTTGCTATAATGGGAACTCTTTGTAAATGGCGAGGAAAAATGGTTTCGTCATAAAGTTAACCGTACACTGAACTATCTAAATGTTGTCAATTCTTACGGCTTTGAAACCTTAACCGAAAAACCTGTTTTCGAGATGTTTTTGCTGGCTGCTTAGATGTAAATTTATGTCCTGATTCCATTAAATTATTTAAAAATTTCTTTATAAGCATAGATAAAACTTTTATTATCCATTAAAAGTGAAGCATCGAGTTTGGATTTCGAGACCAATAAAAACAAATAAATTTTAAATTTGTCGCCAAAAAACAAAATCAGGTAGATGTAAGCTCCTGTTCGAAATTTTAAATTGATTTTGAAGGTTGAAATAAAAAACTCACTCTGAAATTAAAATCACAATACCCGGATCAACAATGTTACGAACTAAATTTTGATTGATGAGGGAAGTTTTAGTATCTGCAACCCTTGCAGGTGCTTTGGTTAAGATTTCGAAGCCGTAAAAACGGACAAAATTTGAATAATTCAATGGAAGATTGTTACTATGACAAGGAACTCTTTGCAAATGACGAGCAAAAGTGGTTTCGTCATAATAATGCAGTACACTGAATTATGTAAATGTTGTCAATTCTTACGATTTTGAAACCGTAACCGAAGATTTTGCAAGGTATTATGATTTTAACCAAGAACCTTAACCGAAGAACCCGGGCATTGTGATTTTAATTTCAGAGTTTTTTTTATCTTTATCCATTTCAATAAGTTTTCAAAATAAATGTATGTGTAAGCTCTGTTGAAAACTTCAAATTGATTTTGAAAGTTAATTGAAATGGATAAGGAAAAAAAGAACTCTGAAATTAAAATCACCATACCCGGGTTCTTCGGTTAATGTTCTTTAGTTAAAATCATAATACTTTGCACCTTCTTCGGTTACGTTTTCAAAATCGTAAGAACTGACAACATTTACATAATTCAGTGTACTGTTATTATTATGACGAAACCATTTTTGATCGTCATTTGCAAAGAGTTCCTTGTCATAATAACAACCTCACATTGAATTATTTCAATGTTGTCCGTTTTTACGGCATCGAAATCTTAACCAAAGAACCTACAAGGGTTTCAGATACTAAAGTTTCTTTCATCAATCAAAATTTAGTTCGTAACATTGTTGATCCGGGTATTGTGATTTTAATTTCAGAGTGATTTTTTTATTTCAACCTTCAAAATCAATTTAAATTTTCGAACAGGAGCTTACACCTACCTGATTTTGTTTTTTGGCGACAAATTTAAAATTTATTTGTTTTTATTGATCTTGAAATCCAAACTCGATGATTCACTTTTAATGGATAAAAAAGTTTCATCTATGCTTATAAAGAAATTTTAAACTAATTTAATGGAATCAAAAGATGAATTTACATTTAAGCAGCCAGCAAAGACATCTCGAAAAAACTACAGAGTGGTTTAAAAAGGAAAATGAAAACTCGATCATTCAAAGAAATAAACTCTAAAATTTGTGGAAATTAGATAGACGTGACACTGCCAAAAAACTCAAATTTGGTGCTGCGAGGAATAAATTAGTACACTATTAGACAAGAGAAAAATAGTTTTTTACTCATAGGCTTATTAAATGTATCGGAGACTCGTGATATGTTTAAAAACTAATAAATGAAGTCTTTGATAAAAGCTCTAAAAATACAGGAGTAGCCGGGCTTCTCCAAAATGATGAAAACTTTTGGTTGAGCCACTTTCAATTGCAAACCTTTTAAAAATTTCTCACTACGGTTGGATTTAAGCTCGCAATCAAATTCCGAAAATAGTTCAATAAAAAATTATTTGCACTTTTTAAGAAGTACTGCATTTTATTGAACACAAGACCCCGACGCAATTTTCAGGCATCTACGAAACTAGCAGTCGTTTCATTAAGCGTCTGCCTACACTGGTGCCCCATATCTAGCATATTTAATTAAACTTTCTTTCTCATCTGGTATGTTACACCTCAACTTGAAACTTGATGTTTTTGAAACTTGTAAGATTGATATTAATAAATATCGGCATATGACTCGCCGCCTAATTGCACCCAGTCAAATATTGGAAAACTATATGATCTCCCGTCTGTCAAAATATTTAGAAACGATCAAGCTACTGAGCAATTTGGTTCTCGTCGAGAATACGCAACCATTGATGTCCTAGCGGAGTTAACTGAATAATACGATTTGAGTCAAGTGACAAATTACACTAGTTTCTTCATTGACCTTAGAAGAGCATTTGACACACTTAATCACAAATTTACGCTGAATGACATAGAAGCTTATAGCATCAGCGGAATCGCTAAAATTGGTTTGAAAGTTAAATTTCAGGTCGTTATCAACCTGCCCATATGAAATGTGCTAGTTAAAGCTGGCTACCAAAAAAAAACAGGAGTTTTTCATTGTTCGGTCTTTGGTCCGATGCTTTCTCTACTTTATATAATTGATATGCCCAATGCAGTTAGGGCCTCTGAGGTGTTCTTATCTTTATATAATAAATAATTTTTTGCATAGACTTCCAGATTGGACGAGTTTCAATCTGACATCTTGACTGTTATTAACTGGCTAATTTCTAATGAACGAAGTTAACATTTTGAAACTACCTAAATTAAATTTGTGCATCTTAAAGAAGCTTCCAGTTTCATCACGAACTGTTATCCCAAAAATTTTCCTGTAATTTTTTTAGGTGTAATTGTGAATAAAAGGTTAACGTCCTCGCATCATGTTGCAAAAAGCAAAACAAATTTTGGACGCCATTCTGGAGTGATTTCCAAATTGAAATATTATGTATCCAGAGGGATGTTGGTTGAGTTTTACATTTCTTAGGTTAAGCCAATAATTCAATATGGCCTCTTGTTATTTGGGTGCACCTATTTTCTACTCTCAATTCAATTTATCTATTGCAAAAAAATCGTCAAAAGGATATTTTTTAAAGGAAAATGTGACAGCGTGTCCGACTATTTTCAGCGGAATAAAACTCTCTCCGTTCAAAAACTTTTTTATTATGATCTTCTGAAGTTTTAATTAGGGATATATACATATTGAGCTACTCAAAACAAACTCATTCTATCTTTTAAATGTTTTGCTCTATAGAACCATTGTTTGGTGCTATCGGGAAACCCTCTTTGAGCTGCAATTCTAACAATAAATCTGATTTTCCGATTGCTTCTATTTTTTGAGTTATTTCGATTTTTATAAAAATCGAAATAACTCGAAAATTTGAAGCATTTGGAAGATCATTTTGTCATGTTGGAATTGCAACTCAAAGATAATTTTCCGATATATCAAAATCATAAGAAATTTTGTAAAGCATGAAGTGATTTCAGAGAGTGGTTGTTGAAGCTTGGGTTTTGTGAGGTTGTAATTATTCATGAAAGATGACAAAGTAACTACGTGGAGATGATTATGGGAAAAAAAGAAGGCTTGAAAAACGGGATTAAAAATTTTGAGCGTGCCATGCAGTGGGCTGCTTTTACTTACAAACGGGAAATTCAAGCAGTAGAGTGAAATGCATCGCGAATTTACGGAAAGATTAAGATAAAAAAAAGACCCTCTTTGTTTAAAAATGTATGATGAATTGATGGTGATGATAGGTGCAAGAATGTCTTATTTTGCTCAAAAATCTTTTTCATTTGTTTGTTTCTTAATACGTTTCTGTGGTGTAGGATTTGGAAAAATTAACTGAACAGATTTGGAATGAGTCAAATTTGATTTTTAAGCACAGTTTTTTGTCATGGATAAAATCAAATGACAGTATCACATCAGTGGATGGTGGGTAGATGAAAGAAAAATCAACTTCTGATAATAATTTTTACACAGAATTGATCGTTTATCTCACTGTCGTTGTCAAAAGTTTCAGTACCGTTGTCATTGCTGGATTGTGATGATCTAAGCGGGATGTGTCCTAGTATCTAGTTTCTGCGCTAGGTATCGGTGAAGTATTAAGGATCAGGTGGTGTTGAGGAGGTGTATTCCCACAGCGCCGATAATTCATAACGCCAAAAGGTATAAAGCTAGTCACTGCGCCGAAAGTTTGATAGCTATTCACAACGCAAACGGATTGTTTTAATACATTTTTGAGAAACATAAAACGCAAAATGATTGTTTTAATTACAATTCTATGAAATACAAAATAGAAATCTCAGCAATTCAACACGCATCAACCATTATGTCCCTGAATTTGGGTCTTTTTACTTATTCCGTCCAAAATTCAATATTATTTCAACATCTTGAGCTGAAGCTATTTTGCTTCAATCTGATTGGCTAAAATCAACTAATCAAATTTTAGTTCCATCTCAAAATGTTGTGTTCACATTTCTAAATTGGTTAAATAAGCCAAATTGGCCTAAAATGAAGAATCTTTGGTAAACTACTCAAAATTACTTCAAAA